GAATTGATTATTGAGTACTACAGCCGTGATATACTGTTCAGCAGATCCAGCACATGTGTTATACTTTTACGTGTGTCGAGTACTCTGTTAATACAGGACAGGTGTCGTACTGCTAAGTGTGCCCAGTAGTTGGTTTATACTGTTCAATGTATCCAGTAATTGTAGCATTCTGTTCAGTGGGTCCAGCACCTGTGCTATACTGCTCAGTGGGTCTTGCAGCTAGGTTATACTGTTAAGTGTGTCCAATTCCTGCTCTGTAATGTTCAGTGTATCCAGCACCTGTGTTAAACTGTACACTGTGTCTAGTACTTGTGTCACTCTGTCCAGTGTGTACATTTTATTGATCAGCGGTCCATGTTCTGGTTCAAATTGTTTAGTGTTCGCAGCACTTGTGTTTATTTGTTTAGTGTGAAAATATTTTGAAGTATACTGTTAAGTGTGTCCAGCACCTGTGTGCTACTGTTCAGTGTGTCCAGCACCTTTGTTACACTGTTCAGTGTGCCCAGCACCCGTGCTATATTGCTTTGCGGTCCAGTTTAGTGTGTCGACCAGCTATTTTATACTGTTTATTGTATTCAGCAGCTATGTTATACCATTCAGTCTGTCTAGCACCTGTGTTATATTGTTAAACGGTCCTGGACCTTTGTTAAACTATTCACTGTGTCTATGACCTGTGTTAAACTATTTAGTGTGTCCATGACCTGTGTTAAACTATTCACTGTGTCTATGACCTGTGTTAAACTATTTAGTGTGTCCATAACCTGTGTTAAACTATTCACTGTGTCCATGACCTGTGTTATACTGTCAAGCTCTTCCAGCACCTTTGTTATACTGTTCAGTGTATTCAGCATCTGTGTTTTATTAGACGTCTAGGACCTGTGTTAAACTATGAAGTGTGTGCAGCACTTGTGTCCATCGCCTTCCTGTTAATGTTCAGTGTCTTTAGTACTTGTGTTATACTGTTCAATGTGTCCAGACGTGTATGTAATTGTTCAGTGTGTCCAGCATCTGCATTATACTGTTTAATGTGTCCATCACATGTGTCCATCTGTTCATTGTGTCAAGCACCTGTGATATACTGTTCAGCATGTCCAGTAATTGTGTTTTTTTGTTCAGTGATTTCACCACCTGTGTTATCCTGTTCAGTGTGTCCAGGACCTTTGTTAAAATGTACACTATGTCCAGTCCTTGTTTTAAAAAGTCGATTGTGTCCAGCGCCTGTGTTATACTATACTGTTCAGTGTATTCCGCACCTGTTTTATATTTTTAATTTGTCAAGGACCTGTATCAAGCTGTTTAGTGTGTGCAGCACTTGTATTTAACTGTTTAGTGTTTCCAGTACTGGTGTTATACTATGCAATGGGTTCAGCACCTGTGTTATATTATTAAATGTGTCAAGTACTTCAATTATACTTTTCAGTGAGTTCAGCACCCGTGTTATACTGATCAGAGAGTCCAGGTCCTTGTTAACACTGTATCGAGTACCTGTGTTAAACTGATCAGTGTTTTCATCACCTGTGTTATATTGTTCTGTGGCCAGGACATGTCTCAAACTGTTAAGTGTGTCCACACCTGTGTAATACTGTTCAGTTTGTCAGGGAAATATGTACATTTTCTTCAGTGTGTCCAGCACCTGTGTTAACATGTTGAGTGTGTCCAGGATCTGTGTAATACTGCTCAGTGTGTCCAGCACCTGTGTTGACTGTTCGTGTATCAATCACCTGTGGTATACTGTTCAGTGTGTCCATCACCTGTGTTATATTGTTAAGTGGTCATGGACCTGTGTAAAACTGTTCACTTTGTCAAGACCTGTGTTAAACTGTTAAGTGTGTCCAGGACCTGTGTTATACTGTTCAGTGAGTCCAGGACCTGTATTATTATGTACAGTGTGACAATAACATATCTGTTAAATGTGTCCAGCACCTGTGTTATAGTGTCGAGTGTGTCCAGAATGTATTTTAAAATGTTCATTGTGTCTTTCACATGTGTTAAATTGAGCATTGCATACTAAGTCCTTGTTGTACTGTTCAACAGGTCCAGCACATGGGTTATCCATTTGCGTGTGTCGAGTTCTTCTATTAAACTGTTTTTTAAGTCCAGGAGCGTTGTTAAACTGTACACTGTGTCGAGTACTTGTTTTAAATTGTCCAGTGTGTCCAGTACATGTACATGTGTTAAACTGCCTAGTGTATCTAGTACTTATGTTAAACTGTTCAGATCTTCCAGCACCTTTGTTCAGTGTATTCAGCACATGTGTTTAACTGTTTAGTGTGTCAAGTATTTGTGCTATACTGTTCAGTGTGTCCATCACATGTGTTATACTCTTGAATGTGACCAGGACCAGTGTTATACTGTTCAGTGTTTCCATTACCTGTGTTATACTGTTTAGCGTGTCCATCACCTGTGTTATACTGTTTAGAGTTTCCATAACCAGTGTTATACTGTTCAGTGTTTCCATCACATGTGTTATACTGTTCAGTGTTTCCATCACCTGTGTTATATTGTCTAGCGTTTCTATAACATGTGTTATACCGTCGATGTGTCAATGACCTGTGTTATACTGATTAGTGTGTCAAGCAGCTAGGTTATACTGTTCGATTTGTCCAACTCCTGTTTTATAATGTTCAGCGGTCCAGGACCTGTGCTAAACTGTTAAGTGTGTGCAGTGCTTGTGTTAAACTGTCTAGTAAGACCAACACCTGTGTTGAACTGTTCAGTAATTCGAGCACCAGTGTTCAACTATCGCGTGTGGAAAACTGCTCAGTGTGTCCAGCACCTTCGTTATATTGTTCTGCGGTCCAGGACATGTGTCAAACTGTTTAGTATGTCCAGCACCTGTGTTGAACTATTCAGTGTGTCAAGCTCCTGTCGTTATACTTTTCAGTTTGTCCAGCACCTGTGTTATACTGTTTAGTTTGTCCAGCACTTGTGTTGAACTGTTTAGTGTGTTTGGGACCTGTGTTATACTGTTTAGTTTGTCCAGCACCTGTGTCGAACTGATAAATGTGTCCATCATCTGTGTTGAACTGTTTAGTTTGTCCAGCGCTTGTGTTGAACTGTTTAGTTTGTCCAGCACTTGTGTTGAACTGTTTAGTGTGTTTGGGACCTGTGTTATACAGTTTAGTTTGTCGAGCACTTGTGTCGAACTGATAAATGTGTCCATCATCTGTGTTCAACTGTTTAGTTTGTCCATCATCTGTGTTCAACTGTTAAGTGTGTTTGGGACCTGTGTTATACTGTTTAGTTTGTCCAGCACCTGTATTGAACTGTTTAGTGTGTTTGGGACCTGTGTTATACAGTTTAGTTTGTCGAGCACTTGTGTCGAACTGATAAATGTGTCCATCATCTGTGTTCAACTGTTTAGTTTGTCCATCATCTGTGTTCAACTGTTAAGTGTGTTTGGGACCTGTGTTATACTGTTTAGTTTGTAGAGCACCTGTGTTGAACTGATTAGTTTGTTTGGGACCAGTGTTATACTGTTTAGTTTATCGAGCACCTGTGTTGAATTGATTAGTTTGTTTGGGACCTGTGTTATACTGTTGAGTTTGTCCAGCACCTGTGTTGGATTGTTTAGTGTTTTTGGGACCTGTGTTATACAGTATAGTTTGTCCAGCACCTGTGTTGGATTGTTTAGTGTGTTTGGGACCTGTGTTATACTGTTTAGTTTGTCCAGCACCTGTGTCGAACTGATAAATGTTTCCATCATCTGTGTTGAACTGTTTAGTTTGTCAAACACCTGTGTTGAACTGTTTAGTGTGTTTTGGACCTGTGTTATACTGTTTAGTTTGTCCAGCACCTGTGTTGAACTGTTTAGTGTGTTTTGGACCTGTGTTATACTGTTTAGTTTGTCCAGCACCTGTGTCGAACTGATAAATGTTGCCATCATCTGTGTTGAAATGTTTAGTTTGTCAAACACCTGTGTTGAACTGTTTAGTGTGTTTTGGACCTGTGTTATACTGTTTAGTTTGTCCAGCACTTGTGTCGAACTGATCAATGTTTCCATCATCTGTGTTGAACTGTTTAGTTTGTCCAGAACCTGTGTTGAACTGTTTAGTGTGTTTGGGACATGTGTTATACTGTTAAGTTTGTCCAGCACCTGTGTTGGATTGTTTAGTTTGTTTGGGACCTGTGTTATTCTGTTTAGTTTGTCCAGCACCTTTGTTGAACTGTTAAGTGTGTTTGGGACCTGTGTTTTACTGTCTAGTTTGTCGAGCACCTGTGTAGTGTGTTTGGGACATGTGTTATACTGTTAAGTTTGTAGAGCCCCTGTGTTGAACTGATTAGTTTGTCGAGCACCTGTGTTAAATTGTTTAGTGTGTTTGTGACCTGTGTTATACTGTTTAGTTTGTGCAGCACCTGTGTTGAACTGTTAAGTGTGTTTGGGACCTGTGTTTTACTGTATAGTTTGTCGAGCACCTGTGTTAAACTGTTCAGTTTGTTTGGGACCTGTGTTATTCTGTTTAGTTTGTCCAGCACCTGTATTGAACTGTTTAGTGTGTTTGAGACCTGTGTTATACTGTTTAGTTTGTCCAGCACTTGTGTAGAACTGATCAATGTTTCCATCTTCTTTGTTGAACTGTTTAGTTTGTCCAGCACTTGTGTCGAACTGATAAATGTGTCTATAATCTGTGTTGAACTGTTTAGTTTGTCCAGCACTTGTGTCTAACTGATAAATGTGTCCATCATCTGTGTTGAACTGTTTAGTTTGTCGAGCACCTGTGTTAAACTGTTTAGTTTGTTTGGGACCTGTGTTATACTGTTTAGTTTGTCCAGCACCTGTGTTGAACTGTTTAGTGTGTTTGGGACCTGTGTTTTACTGTCTAGTTTGTCGAGCACCTGTGTTGAATTGATTAGTTTGTTTGGGACCTGTGTTATACTGTTGAGTTTGTCCAGCACCTGTGTTGGATTGTTTAGTGTGTTTGGGACCTGTGTTATACTGTTTAGTTTGTCCAGCACCTGTGTTGCACTGTTTAGTGTGTTTGGGACCTGTGTTTTACTGTCTAGTTTGTTATACTGTTTAGTTTGTCCAGCACTTGTGTCGAACTGATAAATGTGTCCATCATTTGTGTTGAACTGTTTAGTTTGTTAAACACCTGTGTTGAACTGTTTAGTGTGTTTTGGACCTGTGTTATACTGTTTAGTTTGTCCAGCACCTGTGTTGAACTGTTAAGTGTGTTTGGGACCTGTGTTATTCTGTTTAGTTTGTCCAGCACTTGTGTTGAACTGTTTAGTGTGTTTGGGACCTGGGTTATACTGTTTAGTTTGTCCAGCACTTGTGTCGAACTGATAAATGTGTTCATCATTTGTGTTGAACTGTTTAGTTTGTCAAACACCTGTGTTGAACTGTTTAGTGTGTTTGGGACCTGTGTTATACTGTTGAGTTTGTCCGGCACCTGTGTTGGATTGTTTAGTGTGTTTGGGACCTGTGTTATACTGTTTAGTTTGGCCAGCACATGTGTTGAACTGTTAAGTGTGTTTGGGACCTGTGTTATTCTGTTTAGTTTGTCCAGCACTTGTGTTGAACTGTTTAGTGTGTTTGGGACCTGGGTTATACTGTTTAGTTTGTCCAGCACTTGTGTTGAACTGTTTAGTGTGTTTGGGACCTGGGTTATACTGTTTAGTTTGTCCAGCACTTGTGTCGAACTGTTAAATGTGTTCATCATTTGTGTTGAACTGTTTAGGTTGTCAAAGAACTGATAAATGTGTCCATCATCTGTGTTGAACTGTTTAGTTTGTCCATCATCTGTGTTGAGCTGTTTAGTGTGTTTGGGACCTGTGTTTTACTGTCTAGTTTGTCGAGCACCTGTGTTGAATTGATTAGTTTGTTTTGGACCTGTGTTATACTGTTGAGTTTGTCCAGCACCTGTGTTGGATTGTTTAGTGTGTTTGGGACCTGTGTTATACAGTTTAGTTTGTCCAGCACCTGTGTTGGATTGTTTAGTTTGTTTGGGACCTGTGCTATACTGTTGAGTTTGTCCAGGACCTGTGTTGGATTGTTTTGTGTGTTTGGGACCTGTGTTATACTGTTTTGTTTGTCCAGCACCTGTGTTGGATTGTTTAGTGTGTTTGGGACCTGTGTTATACTGTTTAGTTTGTCGAGCACCTGTGTTGAACTGATAAATGTGTCCATCATCTAGTTGAACTGTTTAGTTTGTCCATCATATGTGTTGAACTGTTTAGTGTGTTTGGGACCTGTATTTTACTGTTTAGTTTGTCGAGCACCTGTGTTGAATTGATTAGTTTGTTTGGGACCTGTGTTATACTGTTTAGTTTGTCGAGCATCTGTGTTGAACTGATTAGTGTGTTTTGGACCTGTGTTATACTGTTTAGTTTGTCGAGCACCTGTGTTAAATTGTTTAGTGTGTTTGTGACCTGTGTTATACTGTTTAGTTTGTCGAGCACCTGTGTTGAACTGATTAGTTTGTCCAGCACCTGTGCTGAACTGTTTAGTGTGTTTGGGACCTGTGTTATACTGTTTAGTTTATCGAGCACCTGTGTTGAACTGATTAGTTTGTCGAGCACCTGTGTTGAACTATTTAGTGTGTTTGGGACCTGTGATATACTGTTTAGTTTGTCCAGCACCTGTATTGAACTGATTAGTGTGTCCAGGACCGGTGTTGAACTGATTAGTTTGTCCAGCACCTGTGTTGAACTGTTTAGTGTTTCAAGCATCTGTGCTTCCTCCTTAATTACTGTTCATATGCTGCTACTTTTAAGCATTTAAATATATTATGAATACCATACAAAAACAGTTCAATACTTATATTTACGTTTTTTCCGCCTTTTGTGTTTTTTTTACATAGAAGTTATATTCAAAATTTAAAAACTTAGCCTTATGTACGGTCCATATTTTTATTTTTGAAACATCTTTATGAACATGATTGTCAATTGTCGATTCTAAATTTGAAATAGGGCGGATTAACTATCTGTAAGTAAATCTTTGGTAAAGGGGACATAACTCTTAGTATCAAGTTACATAATAAACGTTATCACAAGCTCACCATCAATAACATGCAACCCCCAAAAATAAAGCGGACAACCAACGGAAAAGAAAACAAAATATTCTGAATAGAGTTGATTCCATACTTAAATTCATCAATTCAAGAATACATCATTTCATACTACAAAGAAGCATATTAGGATAGGCAAAATCAAGAGACATGTGCAATTGTTTTGTTTTGTAAGATGGAATGATCATTGCAAAATGTAAATATGACAGCAATACCAGTACGAATCCAGACAGGTAATATAATAACCTAATGAATTGGCACAAACACTGAGTATCTATATAGTATCCACAAGAGACCTTTAACAACAGAACTGTTAAATAAGTTCTGGTCTCCATATCTACATGGCAGACCGACACTCTCTACCACAGACCCATACCCAGTTACGTACACATGTATATATATCAAGCATAAAAATTATCTAATCAGTTCAAACCAAAGGTAGTTAATAGATGCATACACACACCCAAAACTAAATACTGGATCTAAATCATTGTAAAAAATATAAACAGTGTGTGCAATAATATGCACAATATCCTACAATTTCAAAGCATGCGATTTTTATAAGATTTTTAAGACTGACAATTCAACATTTAATTACACAATATCAATTTTGTAACACAGAGCTTGTCCTTTAATTGAAGGAAGGTGCAAATATTTTACCGGTAATAAAAAACATGATAACATAAATGCTTAAAGCAAAAGACATTCAACTTAAAGTCAGTGCATTTATCAATGTGATGCTTTGTGGACATCCGAATGTATAATTACAATATATATACATGTAGCATGCCATTATACAGCATACATATGACGCTTTCCATTAGATTATGAAAATAATCTTCTGTGACAACATTAAAGTTGAGCAAAGATAAAGTTAGGTACAGAAATGGTAAACTCTGGATCTCATCATGAGCATCAAATACTTAAATCAGTTTGCTACCAAATTTAATCCAATATTCAAAGGCACAACATAAAACCGATTGACCTGATAATTAAGGAATTAAATGAATAAAAAGGTACCACACTACTGTGCAAGGTTATAATGGCAATATATCAATGCATCAATTGATAACATTGCAAGGCATCAATTCTCAAATTCACATATTAAGGTATCTGCCGACATATCAAGAGATTCGTGACAAATAGCAGGAATCAAATGGCAACATATTAAGGCATCGTATATGAAAATATATGAAGGCATAAGTGACAACATATTGAGGCATCAAATGGCAACATATTGAGGTATCAAATAGTAACATATTGAGGCATCAAATGACAGCATATCAAGACATCAAATGGCAACATATTGGGGTATCAAATAGCAACATATTGAGGCATCAAATGACAACATATCAAGGCATCAAATGGCAACATATCGAGGCATCAAATGACATTATCTGTTGAATGAGAATACGTAAGTTCTGTTGAACTGGAAGTGGAAATAATCACCTCTCGTATGATAGGATGTTCACTTTCCAATTCCACAGTTTACCCATTGTCTATGGAATCGATGTAGAAGGAATGACCTTTCGCGTGTCTACAGAGTCAAGAAAATATTCAACCGGATTAGGTCTACGTACAAAGGTAATCTTTAAACGATTAAGGTGTACCGAGTTCTTCTGGACTTTACCAGTCAATGGGTTCTGAAGTGTAACACAATGTGGACTATCCACAGAGTTGATAACAAAGGGCACAGTATAGGGGGGCTGGGATTCGGCACCTTTTCCTGTCCGTTCCATCAACAAGTAAACATAGTCACCAACTAAAACAGAGATAGGATGTGTCAAACTATTTACTCTATTCACCATTTTCACCTTTGATTTAAGTGCACGGTCCATCACATCCTCACGAATATCATCCAGGCGGTTGGCAAAGTTTTGAACATACTGATGACATTCTGCTGGCATTTTGGATAAATCTGATTACGGATCATGACAAGATAGTGGAAAAGACGGACTCTGACCATACACTATCTCAAACGGCGAATAACATAAACTGAAAGTAACCGTCTTATTCATGTCACTGCCGATAGAATTTCTTTCCATGACTTTCCTTTACTAATATATGGTGTGATCCTTTCCGCAAGTGTTCAAATGTGTACGCTGACAAGCACCTAGACAGTGATGCATGAAACTGGGTGTGAACGACTGAGCAATATCCAGGAGGCGACAGACTTCCTTGGTACATCTACCTATACATTCAGATCCTTGAACACTAATAATAGGCGAACACATCCCAAACTGAGTATACAGGTGATAAATGCAATGAGATACACTAATCATATCTTAGTTTGGGAGTGGGTAGGTAGCAATGAATTTGCTAAACATGTCAACCGCAGTGAACACAAATGAGTATGCGCTAGTCGAGGGCTTCAAGGGGCCATATAAATCCACCCCCCATACTTGAAAAGGTTTGGTTGGTGTACGGTATGCAGTTATAGCAGACTTTGTGTGGATTTTAGTCACCTTACGGGTTTGGCAAGCCCGAGAAGAACGCACATATTCGCTCATTATTGTAGATAGCTGTCGAAAGTAGTAATGACAGCGAATCAGGTCCATGGTGTGCTGAATTCCTTCATGTCCACCCATGGGGGAGTCATGGTACAGGCCAAGAACAGTTTTGATCATAACCTTTGGTAACACTAACTGGTATTGGTCCATATTTTCGGTTCTCTTTGATTTGGCTATCCGCGAATGAAACAGAAGATTGTCTATGAGAACATAATCCGCAGATTCCAATATAAAACGCCTTGCTACCTTTTGGGAAGGAGGGATAACCGAATGTTCTAGATAGTCAATTAACAGTTTCAAATCAGGGCGAGAGAGTTGTAACGCAGCTACGCTTTCAGCACTGAAATCAAAGTGATGCAAAAGTTCAATAGTGTCCATAATTGCCACATCATGCTCGTTTGCATATGTGCTGGTAGTAATTAAGTATTTCGTTACTACCATCATATATTTACATTCTTGATGTTTGCTCTGTATTTGAATCTACCAACTGAAAACAGCTGCCATTAGACTATGAATACACTATGAATACAACGATTATCGTGCAACCAGTCAGCTGATTTCACACACAATGACCACTTACTTCGCATAGTACCGTTTCTGAGAATAGTTATCTCCCCTTCTCCTAGATAACGTAGCTGCGAGAAATAATAATAAACATTACAAAAATCATAAATGGTGCACCATTGTACTATCATTAAATCTATTTCTGTTGAGACACAGAAAATGCTAGAAGTTGCCAACCAATCTCCCGTCACTAAGGGAAATACAATCTGGGGATGGAAAATATTCCAAGATAAATACATCATGTCAGCTATTAAACAGTTAAAAGGATTAAAACAAAATCAGATTTGGAAATTGTTGAATTTGTCGATCCGTCGATACAGAACTGGTAAAATGAATCAGTTATTTCGAATTTTGATATAAAGCAATTATCTAACCATTTAAACCATCACACAAATGACGCTCTTTTTCCAAATCCACAGGCGAAAGAAGATATATTTTTTACATTTAGATTTGAACAAAGAAGTCTTTGGGACAGACTTGGACCTAGAAAGCGTTAGTTACGAAGACCTCGCATATCCTCGCGAAATCTTATTGCGAGGCGAAGCCTAAAAACACAAAGCAACGGGCAGAAAACATGCCAGCGCTCCAGGTCGAGGAATACCCATAGAAATACATTATCAATAGGTCATGTCGGAATATTGATATTGTTCGCGGGGTAAATTTCAAAAAAGCGAATCGTACTCTAGACGGCCTGTTAAAAGAGCGTACGAGGACTGGGGTGGCTCGTCCAACGGCACACAAGGAAACTATATCGCCCCTACATTTAACACAAATATCCACTTACCTCAAGGGGGNGTATACATAGCTTCGATCACGTGACCGCATCCGGGTTGCGGTAAATGCGGCAGCCATATTGGATGGGTCGAAGTTCGGGCAGACATACTTGAGCATTGTTAACTATTCTCAGCGACGGCTTCTTGTGTACGTATTACATGTTGCGGAAATGGCAAGCAAAGGTTTGCTTGACTACAGACAGTCATTGGATGTTGTTTCTAGAAGGAGATACGATGAAATATGTGCGTTGATTGACAAAATAGATCCATATCAACTTGACAAGACGAAATGGAGCAAAGACATTAATCTTTGGGCAGGTGTGACGTGCGCAGACATTTTTATGTATTTAGTGAACTTCACGAGTGCTTACACTGTAGAAGAACTGAAATGCTACAAATGATAAGATGCATACAATCAATTCATCAGCGGCTGGGTACGAGACGTAGCTGTGTATAAAATCAACGATCTTTGCCTGCACACTGCACGAGTAAGTACATTTCAGGGACTCGGGGGTGTACTGTTTTTTTAGAGTAAACAATCTACCAGACGCAGTCACGTGTATATCGATATTTACATGTACTGTGTTTATAGTAAACTTTGAAAATGTGAGCATCCTCCAAGACAGTAAAATTATAAATACAACCCTGCGGGGATACTAGGGCATCCCTAGACATAGGGGCTGATCATTTGTCACTCCAGACACAGTGGTTCGTTACAAATGTCTGAAATACCGGATGCTGTACTGATATGGGTCACAGCAGTTTATTTGTGCTGTGACCCATATCAGAAATAGTTGACATTTGTAACTAACCCCTGCGCTCCAGACTAAATTGTTGACATAACAGCTATTATATAAATTAGTCTACCAGCTCTAAGAACATAAGTATATGTTTTTAACAATTAAATTATTAATAAAGCCATTTAAAAAAGAGAAATTAAAGTGTACAAATAAATACAATATTAGTACTTTAAGTACTTTTAGATCAAAGTTTTAATGTCTATATAATAGAAATCTAGTGCATATTTTACTCGCCATCATACATTGTAATAAGGGTATAGACAGTCTATATTTTTCTATTCTCATAATTGATGATTTGTATGCACTTGTAATCATCAGATTAAACATTGAGGACATACTCAATACATGTAATGGATACATGTAGCAGTATAACAAAATCATATATATTGGACAACCTAGAGCATTCAAGTTCAAAATGTATAAATGATATTTCTAAAGCATAAGTAATACTGTTATTTTTGTGTTACAGGTGATGCATTCTCAAAGATTAAGCGACACACCACTGACACAATGGATTATCATCCAAACAGATGGAAAGGTCCTTGCAGCACATTGTAACTGCATGGCGGGATTAGGAGAGTCATGTACCCATGTTGCAGCACTTCTCTACAGCATTGAGGCCACCGTCAAAGTGCGAAATTCAAAGACAGTCACCCAGGAGAAAGCGTACTGGCTTCCAGCAAGTGTAAAAGGGGTAAATTACAGTACTATTAAAGATATTGACTTCACATCTGCCAAGACTAAAAAGAAATCTCTTGATTGTCAACTTGCTGGAACACCAGTAACTCCACGTACACAACAAGAGCTTTGAGTTGCTAGCCCTCCATCTGAGAAGGACTGTCATTATTTTTACAAAGACTTAGTGCAACCGGGGCAAGATCAGCCATTCTGAGTGTAAAAGTGCCATTTCAAAAGAACTTTATTCCAACTCCTGTAAGTGCTAATTTTCCCATGATACTGTCTAAATTATTTGACAAGGAACTTTTAAGTGCTAGTTTCAGTGAAATCATGAAGAAATGTGAAAATCCTCAGATTGCGGTTTCTGAGCAAGAGGCAGCTACTGTGGAAAGTGCTAAAAAAACACAATGCAATTCTAATCTCTGGCATCGATTCAGGGGTGGTAGAGTGACAGCATCAAAAATGTTTTCAGTGTGTCACAGTAACCCAGCAGCACCGTCTCGGAGCCTAGTCGCGTCCATTTGCTACCCAGCCGAGACAACATTTAAATCTGCGGCAACAACATGGGGTTGTGAGCATGAGAAAGAGGCTATTAGGTCCTACAAGGAAGCAATGGAACTTCTCCATGAGAACTTCTCCTTGGAAAAGGCTGGATTTTCCATTAACACAGAATTCCCAACTTTAGGTGCCTCCCCAGATGGACTTGTGTCATGTGATTGTTGTGGTGTTGGTGTTGTGGAAATAAAGTGTCCCTACAGTGTCCGACATTCTTCTCTCACTAGTTACGATGGATCAAAGTCCTATTTAGAGGACACATCTGAACAACCCTATTGAGGACAGCATTTCAGATCCTTTTTATTGCATTTGTCAGCAGCCTGAGACCCCTGACAGAGAAATGGTGGCATGTGAGAACCAGAATTGCAAATTGGAATGGTTCCACTTGGATTGTTTAAAATTGACAAAGTCAAAACTGCCAAAGGGAAAGTGGTATTGTCCCGATTTTAAGAAAGCGGACTCTAATTCTAGACCAAAAAAACGAAGCAGGAAACATTAATTTGTAGAAGGTTTGAATGAATCAAAATTGAAAATGTTAGTGTACAATGTACTTGCATTTAACATGTGAAGTTTACATCATGTATCTACCAGTACTTCTCAAATTTGCGATTTGCTTATAGTGAAAGATCCAATATGTTATATGTCGGTTGACAGTTTTCAAGTGAATTCAAAAGTGTTCACATATAATGGTATGCTGCAATGTTTGTGATAAATGTTATTATTGAATAACATGTCAGAAATAAAATTATTGCATTTGATTGTGAATTATGTTATTATTTAACATATTGTGAGAACAGATCTAGAATTAACAGTACTGGTGCAACTGCTCATATAAAAAAATCAGTGTCTGCTTGAATTGCATATAAAAAAGTTTACTTACTCCACAATTAAGAATATACGCTTGATATTACAGTAATCTGACCCAAGGTAAAAGGTTTGAATTTTGTTTTTACGTTTTCGAAGTCTTGTACAAACAATAATGGGGAAAAAGAATGACCATAAAAAGTTTGGTCTTTGGTAAGATTTTCTGGGTCAATAGGGTCATGTCAAACAAGAACATTTTTAATGTTGGTGGTATATATTATTTATAAAAGTGCTTATTGTATAATAATTAGTTACGTTCAAATGATAATAAAACAACAGCATTTTCATTATCACTTCACACTTTAATTTTCAGACTGTCAACATCAGGGTCCTGGAGGTATGAATTTGTACACATTTAAATACACAGTAGGTGCTATATCTGACGTGAACTGAAAAACTATATATTTCTATTTTCACTCCAGGATTCAAAACTATGTAATTAAAACATCACTGAAGCTATTGCTTGGGTGGGCATCATCCATTATATCATACATAGCATAACAAAACAGGCTTTTCATAAAACATTCACTTATGATAAAGAACTGTTAATAGTTTTGGATACACATACATGTACATCTAATCAGTATCAAAGACAGCAAATAATTATATAACCTTCTGTCACGGTCAATTATTGTTTACATTTAATTTACACATGCAGAAGTACGTAGTGTAACAAAAAAATAACTAATCAAAAGGCACAACAGATTTGGATAAATTTGTCAGAGCGCAACATGCTGTAACAATTTTGACAAGGGTGGGCACTGAATTGTCTGATGATGCAAGGAAATCAATTGGAATAGTTTTGTGGAGAATTTCAAACTTGTTTCGAAGTAGACCTATTACACGCTCAACATGAATCCTAACATGTGCCAGTTTACTGGTACTTTCAATGTCTACTGCTGACAGTTGTGGTTTCCCTCTGGTGAAAGCAGGAATCTTCAATTCACAACCAGCTTGTGCAACACTCTCAGCAATGTCAAAACCTCTATCTGCAACAACTTTGTCTCCATAAACCAGTTTATCCAGAAAACCACATGAGTTTGTTATGAACTTTTCTGAAGCTCTTCCACCATATCCATCACTGATGAAGCTGATGGACCCCTGTGGTGTGATGCCTATCAGGTACTAAGCAGTGTTATGGTGTTTATAGTTTGACCATGTTTGGGCACGTGCTTTCAAGCCAGAGGGTCTTTCAATGAAGATTTCAAAGCAATCGATAATGACAGCTGCACGAAGTCCAAAGTGCTTCCGAAACGCCATGGGCATGGTTTCCTGTAGCTCCTCCCTATGTGGCCAGTAGATCAGTGGTTTCGTTTTCACAAACATCACATTTAAACAATTCAAAAATACCTTGCTGATGGTGCTGGGGGAAACTTGAAACATTTCAGCCAAATAATGACACGGGAAGGCTAACTTCAGTCTGATAAGGACAACCATCATCTGCTGAAACTTGGTCAGAGCACTGCTGTGGGTTGAATGAAATGATGTTTCCAAGAAAGTGAATAATGTCATGAGAATTTGGAATGTGGCGATTCCAGTCAACATTTTAATCCTGTCATCATTTCCCTGTAACCCTTCTTCAGTTATTGTCATGTTTGCAAGTTTCTGTTTTAGTTCAACATTCTCCACTTTGATTCTGTTATAATCACTTTCTATAGCACTTATTGCACTAGAAGACAGTTCTGTCTGTACATGTTGGGCACAGTCACTTGTTACCTCAGGGTGATCCTGTGTTGTAGCATCTGTAACCTGCACTTCATCTTGTCGACACTGGTTGAAAAGTTGAAGAAGTGATTGTGCAGCTACAACATTCTTCTTCTTTTCCTCTCGTTGCTTGATTCTAGTACCACGTAGAGGGGTTGGCAAAGTCAGAGTTGCTACCTTGTGGTGGCCCAGCTTCAGAGAAGGTGCCCAGTCTATAGTGACTTCTGGGTAGAGAGATGATGGCTTGCCTGTAAAAATTAAGACTATATGTACAGACACTGTTTATATCACATTTGATAATGCATCATAATAACAGATTTGTATTCCAGTATGAACACCATGTACATTATACAATACATATATGTATAAAAAAAAACTTAGTCTTCGATTAATTATATAAATATACCATGACACACACAAAAATTACTAATAATACTTATACAAAAAAAACACACCTGTAATATGCTTAAAAATAGTTATTTCATAAGCCTATTAAAAGAATATTTTGTATTAAAGTACCCTTTTTAATATTTTTTTATAGAATTTCAGGCTCAAACAAATCGTTCTTCGCCCTTATAACACACTGTATCTTATCGATAATCGATGGCCGATCTACTGAGATGGGGTGTTTTTCAAGACCAAGCAAATATCGGCGTAAATATTTGAAACCACTGTCATTTTTTTTACATCCTCCGACAGAACATATGGCAACCTGGCTATCCATTTTGTGACCAGGGGACTTGAGTTCCACGAACAGCTGCGAGTTAATTCTTTTGAATTTATTTCAGACGGGCTATGCAACAATCAATCATAACACAAAACAAAACAAAAATCTGGGTGGGTTTTCCTCTAGTGAAGCTCCAACAAAACGCATGTATTCCACTAGCTTCCATTGTTAATATCAAAACGGATTCGTCGAATTTCGACCGCTGAAAAACTATTTAACCACTACCTATGCACTCAGACGGTAATCCAGAACACTTACGGGTATCACAAGTGCCTAACACTATCTCGGCTACTCCATCGCGGGACATAATGTGTAATGGCGACTCGCCATCGGTTCCACGAGATCGTGGTAACGACCTTTCGAACACCCAAACGTCTGGCTGGGTAGTCTCCGTGACATTAACTAGTACATCAGAGAACTTTGTAATGACATAGGGCACTTCATCCACAAAGTTATCTTCATGTACCTCAGCAGGATTTCAGGCAAACAGCACATTCCCACGGATTCACATTCAACTTCAAATGAGCACTGCCCACCGCCGACGGGATGCTCGGCCGACGAATGCCCTGGATGGTTACTATGGTGACCGTTGTTTGAAATAGTGCGGACATAAACTTTTACTAAATATATTATTTGCGGCGTTAAATGCAAAAAAAAACATGAAATAATATCAACTTTCAAAAATGAAAGGAATACAAAGCGTTGTTTATTATGAGATTATAGTGTTTTGTTTTGTTTTAACAAATCAGTTGATCGGCGCAAGTCAAACCTTTGAAGTTTGTGTGTAGGCTGAAGTTCTGGCTGTTCCTTTTTTATGGTTTTCTGTCCGATACTGATATCAAAATATATTTTTTTACAAAACTTGTTACAATTTTTTATTGTAGTTCATAGTAACGAAAATAAATGAATTGAATGGATTTTTTTTTCATGCCGCAATGTACATGAAAAAAGCCATTCAATACATATGTGTACTGTTGATATTGCTTGCGTCCGGCGAATGAATGTCTGTGTCCACAGAAACAACATGGTCAAGCGAGCAATGTCTGTGTCCACAGAAACAACATGGTCAAGCGAGCAATGTCTGTATCCACAGAAACAACATGGTCAAGCGAGCAATGTCTGTGTCCACAGAAACAACATGGTCAAGCGAGCAATGTCTGTGTCCACAGAAACAACATGGTCAAGCGAGCAATGTCTGTAGACTCCAGATAGGCAGGATTGGTTCATCATTGTTCACGTCAACAATGTTAACAGTATCAAATGAGACATAGGCCATATTGCTGTCGTCCGGTCCTTCTATATCCGTATCAATAGTACAATCGGTAACAGTATCAGATGAAGCATAGGCCATATTGCTGTCGTCCGGTCGTTCTATATCTGTATCAATAGTACAATTGGTAACAGTATCAGATGAAACATAGGCCATATTGCTGTCGTCAGGTCCTTCTATATCCGTATCGTCAATCGGTAACAGTATCAGATGAAACATAGGCCATATTGCTGTCGTCCGGTCCTTCTTTATCTGTATCAATAGTACAATTGGTAACAGTATCCTTCTCCTTTGGTTCTTGATCTATCTCACTGACATTCGCAACTGACTTATTCAGAGAAGGACCTGTCTGGTCTTTAGCCTGACAATTTGATGCACAATCCCCACGACAATAAATTTGAGTGTCGGTAGCAATATGAACAGTTTTTGTACCAGTGTTTGGTTTGGACAACAGACGCTGACGCCTTCGGCGTCGTCGGTTCACTAGAGAGCTGTCAATGTCAAGTTATTTAATAAACGTTATCTTCAGCTCACCATCAATGCTGTGTTGTTTATCATATAACAATTGTAACATATAACATATAACAAACGTGCATGAATAAATACAGTCAGCACCGTTATCCAACCTTGCCCTCACGAGGGAGTTATTTTTTGAAGTTGAATGGCCAGTGAGAAAAGTTCGAATTTGCGAAGAATCCCCTGGCGTGAATTTATTTGTTATTTACATGGAAACCTGACTACAGTTGGTAGATGCTACAACTATGGTGGCTGATATATGACATTTCGTCTTTTCGCTTTGTCGCCCGCGAAATAACGCCAAGCGAAATAACGAAATTGGTACAGTATCCTTCAGTATGTTTTAACCCGCCAAAGCGAAATTACGAAATAACGCCAAACCGAAGTGAAAATAACGCCAAAGCGAAAAGATGAAATGGCGTCTTTTCTCCCTCTTTTTGGCGTTATTTCGTTAACTAGTTTTGGCGCTTTTTCGTCTTTTCATCTTTTCATCGTTTCGCTTTGGCGCTTTGGCGTTATTTCGTCTTTTCGCTTTGGCGCTTTGGCGTTATTTCGTTATTTCGTTATTTCGTTATTTCGCTTGGCGTTATTTCGCGGGCGACAAAGCGAAAAGACGAAATGTCATATATCAGCCACCATATACAACAGCCTCCTTATTAGATATGTCGTCAAAAACTGAGGAAACCGTGGCTGGTAGACACGTGGCAGCGTTTGAAGTGTGTGACAGAGCGTAGGACAACAGCTGATTGTAACTCTAGGTGAGTTGAACAGGAGCGTGCACCACTCAGTGCTTCCTTTTTGATGCTGACACAATCTTATTTTATGATTAGACATACACATGATATGCCTTGTCTCAAACTTTTGATTGTTCAAACAATGTACAATCTTTGATGAGTTTTCGTTCGTGTCAATGCAACGGTTCAATGTCTGCCAACTTAATATTTGTTAAAGTTTCATTACCGCTAGATGATAATTCATCACTGAAAAAATTGGGCAAATCCAAGCAAAGAGGGGGAGATCGTTTGATTCTGTCATGGTTAGTTCAGTGCAGTGTTACTAACAGACGATATTTCTGAAAAATTGTATGAGTGCTAAAATTGTTTCATTGATTATTTGTACGATATTGCAGTCCTTTCGGGGTTTTTTTTGTTGTAATAAAAGTATCTTTTAAATGATTTCTTGATTTTTTTTCACACATCTGCAATAACATTGTGAAGTCACATAATGCCCAGCGATAGTATTGGATGTTGTAGTTCCGGTAAGTGTTGTATTAATACGCTAGAATCGTGTTTCATGCAAATGTAAATTTACAATTTTAAACAGTGATTGTGTATAATTATAGCATTTGTACGCGAATAACGTACAGGTCCAATGTGGTATATTAGTGAGAGTTGTTCATTTTCTATGCCCCCTTTTCAGACGTTGTATGAACAGTATATATGTGTGTGTGTGTGTGCTCATACGGATGTTGGCTGCTACCTTAGTCCGACATTACACATCAGACAATAGCTTATAACCTTGGATGACGTACATGTATATATCTCGGTAGACATTGTCCGGGCGTGTTCTCGGTGGTTCCTAAATACCGACTGTCCGGAACAGTGTACTAATACGGCTCCGTCGACGTCAAATCTGATCGCTATGGACATCTTCGGACATATGTTCTTACATGTAGGCTTTACATGTTTTTTCAATAAACCGTAAAATATGTTGTTTCTCAGAGGTCCTATATGGTTAAATGCAAACGGGCAATATTTACAAAGTACAGCTACACATGTACAAAATAACCCGGTTACAACGACGATTACGAGAACAAAAGAGGTGATATTATACATAGACACGAACAGCAGCAACTGTAGCATCAGAACATGGCTTAAGCAGCGGCAACATGCAGTATTAAATGTTTAACTGTTTTCAACGTTGAGTGCAGTCATTGAAACCTGTTCATATCATGAAATAACCAAGAGCAGTCAGCAGTGTGTTTTAACATTTGTAACATAACAACTGTTGACAGGAAAAGCCTTGATGGACTTTCAAACAATGGCATGTTTATTATACCTAAATAAATTCCTACAGCATGACACGTGTCGATTAGAACAAATATGACAGGCTAATTGGATGTCAGTTTTAATCTTGAGTTTAAAATTCAAATTGAAGTTATCTTATTAATACAATTTGATATACAGTGCAGAGAAAATCTGTAACAACGTAGTCAGTCTATACAGCCAACACGCAAATTTACAAGTTAGGATTTTAACCCTCAGCCTGAACCTCTGAACACAACACAGTTTTTTTACCAACCGAGCAACCAGATCAGCATACTCGAAATCCCCGAGGTTACATGTACGCTCAAATACGTTCTTGACCTACCGTTTAGAGTTCGGAGGGTCCCGGGTACGAATCCCGGTCTGGTCGTTCAATTTCTCTTCTTCTATTAAATATTGACGAGCTTACCAACCCTTGTTTCAAGCACTGGGAGAACATTTGGCAAGGGGATGACCAAACCAGGGTTGTGAATAGTTTTGCCTTTGGGGCAAATATTTAGAAATAGGAGGGAGAAATGTAACGGAACTTAACTGGGTCGATCGCCAAGCATTTCTCTTGCATCTTATAATGATGTTCTACTGTGCATATTAACTTAAATGTGCAATTTAACGAGGTTCCACTATATACAGAAAATTAAGCCCCGATATAACGATGGTCTACTGTACAATCAAGCATAGGTGTCATATATAGCGAGGTTCTACTCTACACATAAACCGAAGTGTCCGATATAACGAGGTTCCACTTAACACATACACTGATGTGTCCGATAGTACGACGTTCTACTGTACGCATACACTTAGGTGTTCGATCTAACGAGGATCTAATTTGTGTTCCTAAACTGAGGAGCCCGTTCATTGGAGATTCTGCTAACTATACACAATACTTGTCTGATATGTTCTTAGTGTTGGTGTGAACAATAAATCGTTGGGATATATGTGTCTATATTAAAGATAAAGTTACGATGTGGACGTCAGTCAGCAGGAGCTAACCTTATCAGTCAGAAGTGTTTCGTAGTCGACGCAAACCCTAGGCCTGATACTATCAGAATATACAGTCAGTATTTGGTGCTTCATGTATAACCGACCACTCATCTCAGAAAACCCACATTTATCGCCCAGCACAGCAAGAGAAGATGTTTCGGTAAAAAAACAAATCACTTTAATAATAGTGTTTTGTTTCATTTAATCTCTTTACGGTGCTAAAGCGTATATAAAGAGTAGAAATTTGAGATAGAGGGACTCATATATATATCGCTTGTCAACACATTGGAATCTCAATGGAGCACAGTTAAATTCGTGTCGATGTATTTTTCAGATCGTTGAATGAAGCGGAATCTGATAGCGAAGACTTCAAGTGTACGTATTATCAGTACTGTTTCCATGTAGAAAGAGTTTTTGTATTGATATTGGGCAGAAACGAAATATTATAATTTGGAAGAAGTATATATGATCGTTGGTTTGTGTACTCTTCAGATTCGGAAAGGACGTAAATATAAAGAAAACCATCTTAAGTAGGTATACATGTAGGACTTAGTTAGTCCAGATTATGCATTTCGAAATCCGGAATTGAGAGTATTTCGAATCAAATGTTTCTTCTATATAAGAAGTGAAAAAACCACACTTTTTTGTGATAATTAGTAATCACGTATGGTATTACTGTTTCATTACGTCTATTTTTGATTAATGGTCACTGTTTTCGTAGATGGAATAAACTGAGAAAATTAATATTCATTAAATTGTAACATTCAAAATCAGTCAAAATATATTGTTTTCAAAGCTTTCCTTTGGAAGGAAAGCGGATTTATCTAATACATACACTGACCCGTATAACAAATGAATGGACAGCCAATCAATACAGTAAATATAATTACAGATCGGAAAAAGGCACGCGAACATAGAACTTAACCTTCACAGCTACCTGTAAGTACAGGTGCGAACCTTTAACACGTTGTAGGGATTAGTACAAGTGTGGAGCTGTTCTGAAGTCCAACCCGAGAAGTTACAATACCTGCATATACAGGTTTAATGGAAGCGCCGGGTTTACACTTCTATCTGTAATATCGACAGTTCTGTGTAAGAATTCTCATCGTATATCACGTTGACGTTTCGATTTGTATGGGATCAAGAATCACACGAAAAAGAACGTATATGTATATGTGCTGATAGAATTGTGGACGACGTAACATTAGCTGATACAGCTGGACAACAGACAAATGGATTATAACCTGAGTAATTAACAAAACTGTGTACGATATAACGTTTAATAATTCCATGTTAACATTTTTCAGGGGCGTTTTGATGTTTACGGAATCTTAAATTAGATGAAAAATATAAGATTGAAACTACTCAAGTTGGAATTTGTTACCGTTTATTTGTGAGAGATTAAAGCCGTCTCGGATAGAGCACTATGAGCCCCGTGTAGATAATTTAACTCTAATTGCGCTAACTCGTGTCCTGGAACGCTGGCGCTTGTTAAATTCCAATAGCTGCACAGAAACACAACATTACCGAAGGAGCAAGCAATTCCGATATCAATGGGAGTTATCAAATTTTATATTTTGTTTTCTTGAAAGCAAATTGTCTTTGCTTCACCAGAAGTACATTAAGGAGTGAAGTAATCGCCTGTCGACTGTGTACTGAAAAATGTCAAAGTGTTGTAGGGCGATTTCTGTTTTTCTATTTCTGGTGTACTGGTATATAGTGTAGATCCCACTGCGTTCAGCGCCATGTAGAGTGCGCGGAGTTGTTACAACGCTCTGCTGTGTTATAGGGAGGACATTCCTACCAGTCGTACACATGTAGTGTAAAACTCTACATTTTCTACAACATACATGTACCTACTCATTATGGAATACAGTTATAATAAGGATCCAACGGAACTTCTTACCAATACGTAAGTGCATTCTTTGATGATTTTTTTCATTTTTTTTTAATAGTATAAATAATTGACAAATTCATAATACTGTCTAATTCGGATATTACATCAGGGTTGGTACTATTGTTGTCCAGTCTTGACTGGTTTCGCTGTACGTTCGGACAGAATTGTTAAGCTATCCGGTCTTGACAAATTTCATGTCGATGGACGATTGTTTATATTACATACTGTACATTTACTTAAACTACAATGTACGATCATCTGGCAATACGAAAACTCGCTATGAGAGGCATTACAAAAAGTGAAAAAATAAATTGTATTAACCAGACATTAACATAAGTCAGGTTTGTGTAAGCCTACCATCTATTAATTCGGTCGGAATAGATACGTCTTTTGGAATAAAAGGTTCGTTTACAGAGGATTGTACCTTGTTCGCTTTAGTTAGTTATCAATGTAAGTTATTGATTTAAATATTTGACAATATCTATTTCCAGATTACTTGATTCTTGGTTCAGGAGGTTCTATGCTATTATAAAATATATTGATATAGAGATAAATTGTAATTGTCATAATGATAAAGTATGACCTGAAATATGAGCAATGCCGTGTTTAATTACATGCAGTATCTTAAATTATTTCAGATAAACGTGTCGGCTGCAACGATACCGCAAGAGGTTAAGCTTGTCCAATTAATATACAAGTTACATGTAACTCAATGATATGTTTATGCAAGTAACATTTTTCGAGTAACATTACAAACTTGTCAAGTGCATAGAAAAGAATTGAGATGCAAATTATGGCCAAGTATCCAAAATCAGAAAGTGTTGTAAACACCCGTTGTATTAATATCTGTCTGATCTCGAATGGAAAGTTTTATTTCAGATTTCTGAGGTCTTACTAACAATGTTTAAACTGCTCATGTGTTATTTTATTAATCAACACACTGACATTCGTGCCCTTTGTGTATCTTGTTTTCGTTTTGGTTTTCAATTTAGACAGGTTCACTGGTGCTCAATAAGGCAGGTTCAGAGGTGTTAAAAGATAAGTGCAGTTATGTATAGTTTGAGCAGAGTCAATAGCATTTGGTTTACACAGGTTAGTTGTTGTTCGGTGTGGGCAGATTCCGGTGGGCGGATATCTCAAGTGATACCTCGTGCATACATTTTTTTTTATTTCATTCAATTTTTCAAACATCTTGACGCGATATTTCGCGGAATTGTCATACAGCGATGCATTCATTCGCGTGATAACAGCTTGAAATTTACAATCTGCATTATACATTTTGTCGTTAAATGTAATAGTATGATGTTGTTAGATTCCTGATATTGTGGAGAAATGTAATCTACACTGTGAAAAACAGTGTCGTCTTTGCAAGGACGAAAACATTTTAACGTGGAAGCATTCAAACGTAGTTTAAATAGTAAATAAAACATATGCATGTGAAGTCCCAGACGGGATGCTTGTAGACTTTAGCGAAACCGAAATATTTTTCGGACTAAAGGGTGCGCGGAAAAAATCAAATATCTCATTCTCGGGTAAACATACTGTAACATGCCCAACCGTGGCATTATGCCTCGGTTGGAATTATGTTATAGAATCCTAGCCCTCGACCAAGATTACCTGATCTCGCTGAGTTACAAGAAATATATTTTATTTGTGTTTATGGAGAAGGTTCAGTGGTATTCGGTTTAGACAGATTCAGTGGTATTCCGTCTTGACTGCTATAGTGGAGTTCAATTAAGCAGGTTCAGTGGTATTCCGTCTTGACTGATATAGTGGAGTTCGATTAAGCAGATATAGTGGAGTTCGATTAAGCAGGTTCAGTGGTATTCCGTCTTGACTGATACAGTGGAGTTCGATTAAGCAGGTTCGACAGTGGTATTCCGTCTTGACTGATATAGTGGAGTGCGAGTAAGCAGGTTCAGTGGTATTCCGTCTTGACTGATATAGTGGAGTTCGATTAAGCAGGTTCAGTGGTATTCCGTCTTGACTGATAATGATATAGTGGAGTGCGATTAAGCAGGTTCAGTGGTATTTTGTCTTGACTGATATAGTGGGGTTCGATAAAGCAGGTTCAGTGGTATTCGGTTATGGCAGGTTAGTGATGTTAGAACATATTGAATGTTTAGCATACCTACTAATATAATTGATTTTTTGTCAATGTTTTGAAACAAATGGAATTAGATTTCCGGCGCCTGTATTGGTCAACTGTAGTTATGTATTACTGAATAGCTATATTGATTCACAATTTGGACTGAGCAATAAAATGAATCCACCAGACCTAGCTATAACCCACAAATATAAAATTTTTACCCCCGTGACGATATCGTCTCGTTCGACACATATATCAGTAAGATACAAAGATATTGAACACATTCCAGATTTTGCCAACTAGAATTAACATGTATCTGCTGTCTACATCCCACTCCTGTTAACGCCGTAAAGGTGTGGACACCTGGCGCTGATATCGTAGAACTTCCTAACTCTAGTAACTGTTGTATTAACCTTCTGATGGTATTTCGCTGATCAGATATCAGTAAGATACTACAGCTGTGCTAGACCTTAATAGTAAAGCAAAACGTGTTTTAAATGTTAATTATGGGGCATGGGTTAATGCGATAAGTAATTGGATGGATTAAGGTTGAAGGGATGGGGGTTGTGTGGGGATCAGATTTGTGTGTTCATTCTTTAGAAGTCATTCATATTATTTCGAATATAACTATTTTATTTCCAATCCCATTTAGCTAACCAGGGGTTTAGGAGATCCTTGTTACTACGGAAACATCTTCTTTTCCAGAGTTTGTAAAAGTACGAGTACAAACAAAAGTACGAGTACAAACACATATCTGTTTCATATTAGCCGACATTCCTTGATACACTGTAGTTTCCGCTGACCCGGCGTTGTTTTGACTGACTGACACGTTTATGTAACAAATAGATCATTGTTCTACTGCAAATATACACAATGTCATGTTATTCTCAACGTGTTGATTACGATGGCTGTCTATTCAACCTGAAATCATTATGTTGGGCAGAGATTTACAAATAATTCTCTTTTTTTTTTTTAACTTTGACAAGAAGTTCCAAATAAACCTCCGGTATTCTGCATATTAGATCAATCGAATTTCAATTCTTTTCTCTATTTACCGTTGGTAATGATAACAATAAAAAGAATGCCTCTTTTCCTGTAGTTTATCTTTGTTGACAGAGTAATTTATTTTAATGGACAGATATTTTGGTTTTAAGTTCCTCTTTTTTTGGAATAACTTAAAAAAGAATCCTGGCGACAGTTATAAATCCAGACGAGACTTATCGAGAGGTCGGCAAGGAGCGAGACCCAAAAACAGCTGCGATAGATATTGGATTTCCAAAGCGTTTGTTTGACTTGGCCTGAGTTTGATGTCAGAGCGACCTGCTATCTGGTGTATAAGATATATGAAGCTCTGACATACACACATCTCAGAGTAAATGAGGATCTTCGATACCCTTCTGTAATCTTTTATTTTGCAAGGCGGATTTCTTTTTTGTGTCGATTGACAAAAACGTTGTTGAGCATGCATTCTAATATATTCAGTTTCTTGCCCGGGTTCAGCCATCATTTAGTTAATATGTAATTATGATTTTAATCGTACCAATTAGTTGTCTTCGTTTCAGCTCGTAATTTAAAAACAAAGGCAAATTTATAGTTTAGATCAGTTTCTGAATATTACTATACATTTAAGTATTGGTTTTTGCTTAGGTCGATTTCATAGAGTGATGGATTGAGTTGGTCTTGAAATAAATATTAAACTGTGGTTAAATTTGTTTCAAGCCAACTCAATGCATCATTCCATGAAATCGACCAAAGCAAGATTCAATCCTTATATTTCTATCAACATGTGGGTTTTTTCAACAATTTGAACTTGTGAAATTTCATTTTGATAGTTTGTCCCAGATTTCGGGGCTTGTGTAAGTCTACGTATTGACGTTATTTAAAAATGTTACAGTCCGTAATTGAATGATCATTACCAAAATGACGTTGTACGCTGATAGTTCAATACAACAAAATTATGAAGAAAAAGACACAAAAACATAGTTTAAATGTCATATTTATTTTTTATTCATGAATTCATAAGTTTAGATATATCATTTTCTGATGCGTCATCGCGGAAGAATAACGTCTAGACGTAGTGCGCAGACTCAGCCGCGAATTTATCATATTTAATTAAATAACACATTATATAAGTCTTTTCTAATTTGTAATGATTAATGTTCAAATTATTTAAATATTAATCATATATATAAATATATATATTCAATATTAAATATATCCATTTTGTAGTCCTTGTGCTGCTGATAAGATGATAAGATGAAATGTGTTATTCTTTTTCTAGTACTTTAAAAATATTAATATAACTATTTATTAAATAATCTGTATTATTGTAACATTTAATAATATGCCTACATTACCTTGTACAAAAATGTAAGAATGTAATGTGTGATTAAGAGTGTGGTGTTTAACAGCTAATTAATCAGTTAATTAATCAAAATTCCTAGATGTTATAAGTATCTTAACTATCATAAAAATCATTGAACATCTATAATTATCCAAGCTATCATTTCCATCCATGTGAGCTAAAAGTGATCACGGCCTATGCTAATTCAATTCAATTCAATTCAATTTATTACCAAATGCACATTGCAAATAGGCATACAGAAATATACATATAGATAAATACTTTACAAATATCTTGTACAATGGCCGAGAACATATGCAATAGATTCAATTCCATACATAATATTTACAAATTATGAAATTGACATCAGTTTGGGAAAACTTTAAGGTTTTCCTAAGGTATCTTAGCGGACTTTTATGAAGCATAATTTAGTAGCATAATTTAGTTGTTTATGAAATAATACAAATAAAGCCTTAATCTAACCAAATTTCTAGGAAATAACAAAACTTCAAAGTCAATCATACAACCTCAACATGAAGGTAGAAATTTCTATTTAGTTAAAAAAAATTGCTAGACAGTAGCTCTATTAATTTAAACATAGAAGGACGAATACGATAATATGGCTTGATATACGATACTCTTAATTCTGAAAATACAGGACACATAAGAATGAAATGAAACTCATCCTCGACATCTCCAAGATCACATAAAGTACACAATCTCTGGTTTCGAGGCACTGCATTATGTCTCTTTGTATGTCAATGATTGCGAAATGCATTTTTTAACAGAAGGGTGTCCTTCTTTAGAGCTACAAACTATTAATATATTGTTAATGATGTATGCAGACGATATGGTGTTATTGGCCGAAACTTCTGAGGGATTGCAGAAAATTGGTACACATTGTGCCAACCACACATCTCCAAAACCCAACGTACACAAATCACGTCTCAGATGATAAACCCAATTTGCTTTACAATTTGGTTTCCTGTTATAAAGCTCTAAAAGTTCATCGTAACAGGCCCTCAAAATACAGTTATTAGTCTTTAATATTTACAGCCAGTACTTTACAATAGCAATCCTACGCTGTATATGCAAAGGGTAAAGACCAAGTTCAAAATACACCATGGCATTATTTACTTTTTTCCTGACACCCAATACGGTTTTCAAAAATAATAAATATATATTTTCAATCTGCGGTGCAGGACTATAACCCCCTACTTCACACCCGTAATTCACAATACATGATATATAAGTATCAAATAAAGATAACATCTCTTACATTTGGGATAGATAACAACAAAAATGTCTGCCTCTTGGCTGTTGGACATGAACTTTAAATTGGAGATAGGATATACATTTGAGGGGGGCCTATTTGAGATTGCTATTACTAAACTTTACTATTATTAATATGTGAATATTGGTAATGTATTTTAAATTTGTAATAGATTGTGAACTATTATGTAGTGCTGTTATATTCTATATTATCTGTTTAAAAGTGTTATGTAAATATTTGACTGTAAACTCTACATATGTATAAGTATAAAAACATATCGATTATATATAAAAATATTTGAACCCCGAAAAAGTATTAAAACCTTATTTTTACCCAACAAAGCTACAAGTCACACAGGTAACTTTCACACAGGTAAGTTACCTGTGGGGTAAGTAAGAAACAGACTATAATTGGTTTGCCATTGTCTTCCTAAATCAACATTTTCCTTTGTTATATAAAAAGTGGGGGAAACGAGAATACCCCGATCACACTGACACAAGAGGCAGAATGGGTAGCTGGAGGGAGAATTTCTATGGCAGTACACGAATTGTGATTACCGCTAGCAACAGCTGATTGATTGTCTTTGGTCGCTTAAATAATTCCTTGTGTAGCTTCAGTAAAAATATAAATATAATAACATCGTCTTTATTTACAAGTTGTGCTAAAGAAATGTCAATAGATATATCCCTTATCAAAATCTGAAAAGTGACTATTTCAAGCTATGTTAAAATTACATAGGAGCCTGCCTCTTCCTTTTCCGAAGTGCTACGAGATTTATGCTGCTGTTTTTACTGTTTTCAATCTCTTATACGTCTGGAGTGATTTCTTTGAATCACTCTACTAATTATTTAGATGATTAATTAACTTAATTACAGCATGGGGGTCGGACAATGGAATATCAGCCGAAAATTGTTTTTCTTAAAAACAAATCGTATTTTTTTATTGTTTGGCGAAATAAATAATTCATAAGGCATTCCTGCTAGATTGCTTTTGAGATATCGTCCGTAAGACATTTCTGATAGAATGGTTTCGAGGTCACGCATCTATAGATATATCTTAAAGAAGGGTTTTGAAGTCTCGCAAATATAAACATGTCTGATAGAAGGTTTGTGAAGTATTGTACGTAATACATTTCTGATAGAAGGGTTTGAGGGTTCGCATATGTAGATATATTTGATAGAATATGTCGGCTGTGACACTCATATATTGTAGATGAGAGAGTGGAGCTGATTGAACGTTTTTGTACCGACGAACAATCGAGACTGTAGCTTTTGACACTATCTTCATTTTTAGGACCGGTCATGAACATGATCTGTCTTGTCTCGAACCCGACATCATTTGGTGTCCCGAACGCACGGTAGTTTAAATGCTAGCGTTTGTTTGTAAACATTGACATGAGGTTTGCGGAAAGAAATCCGCCAATATTTACATATATTCATACGCGGTGAACTGGGTCACGTTTTACACTCTAGTTATTGAGAAATAAACAGACTTCTTCACATTTAGGTTATCGATTCAGAAACAGTAGCAATTGTAAATATATATCATTATATAATATTGTATAATAGGACTAGGTTACATCTTTTGTATTATTACAAAAACAATAAGAGAAAACACATGTAATAAACCAGGTAGTAAATTACCCAGTACATTGCCCTCAACAACGACCTTAGCTAAACTATATTAACTACTGATACTTTCACTACATCTTACATCTAACTCTACAGAACACATTACTGACACAAAACAAATTATCTACAATGTTTATATCATGAGTGTTAGAGTGGGCGGGAGTGATAGAAATTTAAAATCCTGCCGACTTTCAAAACAGTAAGTGACATGATCTGTACTGCACGACAGAAAAATTGAAAGTGAAGCGTTACTCTGAAATTTCTATACACATATCTGAATTTAGGCTTAATTCAAAATGATTGGATGCTTCTTACCCTATTTCATGGGGAAACACAACGTGTCCACCATCTGTTTACATCGTTACTACGTACTGTAGGAAAAAGTCCGAGAGGATCGAAGGGATTATAATTCGCGAAGTTATGAGAGTTAAGAAGAACACCTTTAGTCTACTAAAGTCTGTATTGAAAACTAATATTATAGTATGCATAGCAAAATATTGTTATGCCAGATTATATTACTCGAAGCTGGGGTTTTCCTCCGTGTTAAATTCATGTAAAATTGATCTGCTTAATACCGGTAGTGCAAACTTGTAAACACACGCACACTGGAGAGCGAACACGTGTGTAGCAGTAAACGTAAGGATGCTTCCTCCTACGATTAATAACATATTATCACAACATGTACAATACATACATTAATAGTTCAGTCGTCATGCAGTTTATGGTGCAATCTTTCTGCCCTACACTGTCTACTGTCGCAGTAAAGAAAATTAAAACCAGAAAGACCATCAGGTTAGGGTGATAGCTAAGGTTTATTACTGTATTATTATTGTTACGTACTATTGCATGAATTATGACTATATGTCATGAAATAATATTGTATAAAAGGATTACGTAACATATTTTTTATTATTACAAATACAGTAAGAGAAAAACACATGTAATAAACTAGGTAGTAAATTGCCCACACCTGAGTGACATACATTTTGCGAGGTATTCCTTGTATGGCTATGATTTACTCCCTTAAAGATTATCGATTGAAGGGTTGTACATTACAGACTTTGGGTAGTATCCCTAAACCTGATGAACAGGAACATTAAAATGTGCCGTTAAATTTGTATATTAACATCAAAATTACATTACCTGTCTTTGATTATATCTGTTTAGTATATTTTAAACCCCACGTATATGTACATTATATTCGCTGTCGCTATATTTGTGAACAGTTTAACTCTGAAATGTATCGGAAAAAACCCACATGCGCATCTCTAACAAGCTAACTATGATTGAAAATGTTTTATCATATAACGACTTTCATTTTGGTGTACGCATACAATGCACTAAATGGAACAGTTCTCCAGTATCTACAGGAGCTTGTTACACTGTATCACTGCGGTCGGAGACAGAATCATTGCTGTGTGTCCCAAAATCTCGTACTGTGACCTATGGAAACCGGTGCTTTTGGAGGGTTTCGGCCACGTTGTGAAATAGCTTACATCTGCTATTAGAAAGACAAATACCCTGGCCAAATTCAAGAAAAATATAAAGAACTACCTTTCCACGTCTGCATGTTAGCGTTTTGCACAGACGTCATGTTCATACTACCCTTTATTTATTAATGTATGTGCACATTGCGATGCTCATCTTCTTGCTTAATGTAAAATGGGGATTGTTAGCTGTTTTTGTTTATCAATGATAACTATTACTTTTATTTTTATGTTTTAAAGCGCTTTAGAGTAATTTTACAAATTATATAGGCCATTATACAACTGTTGCATTTTATTATCATCATTATTATTATTCATTTGTGGTAGGCATCGATGCAATGATAGTTTACACACGAAATTGTTATTGTTTGGTGTCTTATTTTGTGTTCATTAGGCCATATTTGTATTGAAGTTGAGTTTTTACATTTAAAAGGTAGACGAGCAGGGCTTTTACTATCAAGAAAAGGAAAGGTACTGTAAGAAAAACAAAATAGTGACCATTTATACTACAGCTTAGTTATGGGCAGTCTACTCATATTCTAAGTAGAGATTGACTTTAGCTGCTGATGAAGAAGAGTTTGGAGTGTCCTTTATTTCAGATGTAGAAGTATATAAACGATCGGAAGGGCCAATTGTTTTGATATGTAAAGACAGCACATCGTCAATATATCTTAATCAAATTGTAGGAATTTGCTTGGGTTGTTTATACCGTCCTGATCAACTCTTTTATTAATCAATTTATCCCCATATGAAAACAAAAATATGTTAGTTGAAAGACACAGTTTGTTCAATTAGGAATGCCACTAATCTGCTGGAAAATCGTGCCGCCGAACTCAACAAAGATACTTTGAACCAAGAACTCGATCATTTCATTCTGGCTTTTGCCCCAAAATATTTTACAACCATAAATTTTTGAATTGCAGTTCTGAGGCATTCATTTAGTTTGGTAAAGGGAGAACAAGTTAATGGTTATGATAAAAGAATACCTTTTTTCAAGAAAGGGTGTTACATGTTGATCACATTATCTTTGTATTTCTCCAAAATTGGCATTCCCTTTATACACATTGTAGTAAGAAGCTTGAATAGCTTGATTAAGCAATCAGCAGAGCCATCGAAATAACTATATTGGATTCATGTAAATTTTCAGAATCAATTACTAACGAGACAGGGTTATCATTAGCCTTTGTAAAGAAATATAAAAGTGCATATAAATGATAAGTTAGCAATTCGTCTTCGGAAGAAAAAAGAAAAAAATATGTAAGAAGGTTTCCTTGGTTACTTTATAAAACAAGACTAGACCTAATGGCAAGCAGAACACTTTAATATTTTCAGACAATGAATCTACAAATCAATATTATAAGACTCGTTCATGCCTAGGAGTGTAGGAAAGGGAAATTCCAACCCAGGGCTGTTCAAAACTTGCTTTGTCGAGGGTTTTCCCCAAGAAAATACCGAGATAGGGTTTTCCCTATCATAAACTCTTGGATATGCATTTTTTCTCTAATTCAAACTACCAGAATAAGCTCAGAAACCATGGACTTTGCGTTTGGACTGTCTACCATTTTGAAAATGGCAATCCCCCCCCCCCCCCCCTGAGATTTTTTAAAGAAAACGAATCTGTCAGCGAGATTTTGTTTTGCACAGAAAAATTATCACATCTTTCAAACATGTAAATATAAAGGTAAATATATCGTAAAAAGTTTTAATATAACTACGACGCCTTTTCCGCATTGCGGTATCGGAGTTTTCTTTATTCCTTATACTTGTGGTGTTGCAGTGTGTATCACGTGATGATCTCACGTTATATAAGGTTTGAAGAGAAGCATCTAAATGACACTTGCCCCACTGTAAACAAAAGACCCCAAAGACACTTCAAAATGGAAAATCTAGCGGGCTTCATGGATATGTATGTAATATAGGGGGCTTCATGGATATGTATGTAATATAGGGGGCTTCATTGATATGTATGTAACATAGGGGGCTTCCTGGAATATGTATATAATATAGGGGGCTTCATGGATATGTATGTAATATTGGGGGCTTCATGGATATGTATGTAATATAGGGGGCTTCATTGATATGTATGTAACATAGGGGGCTTCATGGAATATGTATATAATATAGGGGGCTTCATGGATATGTATGTAATATAGGGGGCTTCATGAATATGTATGTAATATAGGGGGCTTCATTGATATGTATGTAACATAGGGGGCTTCATGGAATATGTATATAATATAGTGGGCTTCATGGATATGTATGTAATATAGGGGGCTTCATTGATATGTATGTAACATAGGGGGCTTTATGGAATATGTATATAATATAGGGGGCTTCGTGGATATGTATGTAATATAGGGGGCTTCATGAATATGTATGTAATATAGGGGGCTTCATTGATATGTATGTAACATAGGGGGCTTTATGGAATATGTATATAATATAGGGGGCTTCGTGGATATGTATGTAATATAGGGGGCTTCATTGATATGTATGTAACATCGGGGGCTTCATGGAATATGTATATAATATAGTGTGCTTCATGGATATGTATGTAATATAGGGGGCTTCATTGATATGTATGTAACATAGGGGGCTTTATGGAATATGTATATAATATAGGGGGCTTCGTGGATATGTATGTAATATAGGGGGCTTCATGAATATGTATGTAATATAGGGGGCTTCATTGATATGTATGTAACATAGGGGGCTTTATGGAATATGTATATAATATAGGGGGCTTCGTGGATATGTATGTAATATAGGGGGCTTCATGAATATGTATGTAATATAGGGGGCTTCATGGATATGTATGTAACCGATTTGCGTTCATACCAGCATGCACTTGAAAACAAGGTGTCGTTCCATCCTTATATATATTACTGATACCAAGTTTTGAGCTCACATCTTAACAAAGCGCCTTACACACTAAGTGTACGTTTCATTTCGTATGATGAATTGAAAGGTTGATCGTTGAAGAGCTTGCGCGCACTCCTTATTCATCAATAATTTATAGGTTGTAAGCTCTAGATATGCGGGCGCCCTTTGCATCTGACTATGGTTGTGAACTCTTGAGGCTCTTCTTAAACCTTACTGAATCAATAGCTCTCAATCTGAAGACATTCTAACACAGCAGAATTTGAATGTCTTTGCTCTTTAGACCACCCTGCGACTCGTACACAGCACTGTCTGGTAGTGAGCTGTTGACCTTTACAATCCACGCGCTCCTTCCGATCGAACAGTATGATGAAATGTCCCTGGCCTAAATACTATTTATTTGAAACGAAGACCATTCAAATTTGTCTGTGCTGCCAAAGAACCTATGCCTTTTAAAATTAAAACTCCTAAAAGAGCTCATTCATTTTTTACTTTTGTTCATGTGAATAATGTTAAAATATCGAGGTCTCATTTTTGCGACAGTCTGTTCTCTGCTTGGGAATGAAGTAATCCCAACAATACAGAATCATTTACCAAATGCTGTTTTTATTTTCATTTGAACCTTCGTGAATAACTAATACTGGTGCACAAATTTTGGATGAAATGCATCGATTATGGATATTATTAGTTCCCGAAGCTTGACATTATGAAATTTGTTACAATCATTTAGTTGCAAGGCACGTTCGATCACCCGGTAACAACTTATTCATTATTCCAATATATTACACAAACTGATGTTAGACGTAGTTTCCGATTGCCTGTTAAGCTTGAAAAATATGGTCAGCAGTATAAGAGTTCTGTTTTGTTTTCATTGTGTTTATTTCTGCAAATACAGAGATAAATGAGTACAACACAAGCTGGTAACAATATAAGAGAGCGAAAATATGCTGAAAAAAATGCTGAAAATATGCAAACTCGCAGTCTCGTGTAGACGATAGGAAGATACCGCCATTCATAAAAGTACAAATGTACCTTATCAGATTTGTCCTCTAACAAAATTCCCTTTAAATTATAAATAAACTAAAATAGCTCTATGTCATCGGTAGATATACATGATAAATTTAACGGCGTCAAGTGAAAAACAAATTAAGCTAAAAACTTCAAATTTATGGTGGACATGTAGCGAATAGAAAGGTGGCGATGTCATTACTTAGTCTGTGTATGGTTGAACGTCCTCGCCACAGCCAAGGGTATTAGGCATCGATATCACATTATTTAACGTCCTCGCCAGAGCCAAGGGTATTAGGCATCGATATCCCATAATTTAACGTCCTCGCCACAGCCAAGGGTATTAGGCATCGATATCACATTATTTTAATAATTGATTTGTTTTTGTCACTTCGGATGTTTTTTTTTATATATCTATAGTAGAACAAGGTTTAATAATTGATTCGATATCAGTGAACAAAAATCATTTCAATGTATGTGTGGGTGCCACAAATCAAGAATAAAGACACCGAAAATTGTGAATTGGAACCCATGGTACATGTATTTGCCATATTAGAAATTTAGTAGCTATTCCAGTTTCCATTCACTAATTGAAGTTGTTGCCGAGGCTACATGGCGCTGTAATGGGGTCAAGTATTGAAAATTTACAGTGACAACCACTTGTGGAAATCATGTAGGAAATGAGTGTATTGATTTGGAAGGGTACCTGTTTAGAGTGCAGCATGATCTGATCAGTGTGTGTTACATTTGTTTTGTCAAAGGTCAGATACATCAATATGCAATACATTTGTAGGTCTAATGGCAACATGAAAAGTAAAACTTAGCTATGATGTGGTTGGGACGTGACATTGGTTGCAACTATATGATCGGGTCTTAAAACTTAAAACCCGTTATATCGAGGTAAATGTCATAAACTCCCTTCAGGTGGAAGTGGTTGGAACATATAACTTTGGTGTATGGAAGTGGTTAAAATATAAATCCTCGTTTTGATTTTCGATTAACTAGTTTAGGCTCGCTATAATATGTAGAACGTGGTTATCTTAAGGAAGTATAATAGAAACTTGATTGCATCAATCTGATAGAATAGAGAGAAATACATATTTCGTTTTTACTTTTAACGTAAGTTGAGGTCTAAGTTAAGAGTTGAATAATCCCATTTAAATTATATAAACCGAGTTTAATCTTGTGCAGTTATTTAGACAGGTAGGTGTTAAACATTTGTTTTCATCATTCTTAAAGGAGGCTCATCAGACAAGTTAGTATGCCTCCATAGAGTTTATACAGTATCACCACCTCTTATCCTTTATTGTTTCTTCGTTCGTTACATCAGATAGTTTTACTGAAAAAAATGCATTTTTTTCGTCAAAAGACGTTCCTTCATTTTATGTTTAAAGCAGAAAGAAGGCATTACAAACTTATTAGAGATGTTGCCGTTACGGGCCTGATTTAGCAATTAAAGTCTGACCAGATCTCCATAGCTCCTGTTGAACCGGTGTTTCTATTTCGTCATGAATCGGATGTCATTACGCTTTAGATTAAAGGGACTATGCCGCATATTTCATACCCGGGAAACAAGAAATTAGTGCTATAAATGCATAAATATACCAAAAAATTAAGAGATTTGCGCGGTCATGCTGTCAACATTGTTGTATATGGACACATTTTACGGGATTGAAACTCTGTGTTTCTCGGCTGCTGTTTGTATACAGCGCCATGCTCGTTTACCTCTCACTGTTGGCAACTTATCTTTTTAGGAGGCACGGAAGTCTAGTGGTAGGACGCCATGCTCGTGACCGAAGGGTTGCGGGTTGGAGCCACGGCACGGCACTGTGTTGTATGTTTAAGCAAGACACTTTACTACTCAGCTATAAATGAGTACGTGGTTGGGCAGTGCTAGAATTGCTGAATGCTAGCCGTAAGCGCCGAAATGGCAGTTCCGGCTGTATGCTCCCCTGGGAGTTGAGAAAGATATTGGCTGGTTGCAAAAGCCCTATAAACACGGATAATAATTTGTGAACCACTTTGAGACGACCTACGAACTAGGTTGATGCCCGAGGGCCGGACGATGGCCAGACGACGAACGCCGCACTAGGGCAAAAGCTCACTTGTCCTTGGCAGGTGAGCTAAAAACAGATAAAAGGACAGACAGACGGAAAACCTGATTACTAAAGATGTGCAGGGGTCCTAATAACAAATCGTGTAATTGAATTGGAGAATCCCCCTTTGGGATCCCTACCCTCCCCCTTCGGAGCCAGAGTATTATGAGAGAGACCATCTGTTAAACAGCATTCAGTCTTCTTAACCAAGTAATGCTCCAGACCATTGGTTTGAAAACATCATCAAGCCATACAGAAGGACTTACTCTATTAGGGGATTTATGTCCTTGCAACAGCCAGGGTCATATGAGGATGGGTGTCAAGCAGATACCTATGGAAGAAAACTACAATTTGAAGGAAGTGGATGTGTTGCCGGCACGTGCACCCACACAATTAAAGGGTGTCATTTTGAAATATCATGGTCACCATCATGGCCATATAAAAAGCATTATGCTTTCAGTTGCTTGTTGGTTGGTTGAGGGAGCTTAACGTCCACACAACATCTGAGGTCATATGTGGATGATATCATGAGTGCAAGATACATAATGTGTGTGCCTGTGTGTTGCCTCTAGCAATAAAAAGAATTTGATATGAGGATCAAACACGAACTGTTATCCATAATTCAAGAAAAAGTCAAACATCAAGTTACGTATTGATGTGGTAAGTGGTCGCGAAAAAAAAATACAGTTGCTTATAAGAATTGCCTATGTGCAAAGGGCTATAACTCCAGAAAAATAGTACCTTGACACTGGATTCTAACTCAAACTGTTATCCATTATACATGTTTACTACATGTAAATTACAAATAATATGGAAAACAGTTATTATGAGAATTTCCTATGTGGGAAAGAGCCATAACTGCAGTCAAAAATGGAATATTAATACATGGTTCAAACTCTGTAATTTATTATGATAAAGCCACAAAAAAAGTTTCAAATTGATATAGTAAGCGGTAGCGAAAATAAGTAAAAAATGAAATTAATTTTGATAATTTCCTATGTGCAAAGGGCCATAACTCCAGCAAAAAATAGAATATTAACATGGGGTTTGAAATCAACCTGTAATCCATTATGACAAAGCCACATATTAAGTAACAAATTGATGTTGCAAGTGGTAGCGAAAAAAAAGTCTAGGAAAACAATTAATTATGAGATTTCTTATGGGCCATATAACTCCAGAAACAAATGAAAAAATGACACAGGGTTTAGACTCTAACTGTTATCCATTATGATAAAGCCACATACTAAGTGGCAGGCGGTAACGAACAAAGTATGGCAAACAGTTAATTATGAGAAATTCCAATGTGCAAAGCGCTATACATGTAACTCCTGCAAAAAAACATAATTGGCACGTGGTTCGAACTTGATCTGTAATCTATCATGATTAAACCACATACAAAGTTACAAATAGATATGGTAAATGGTGGCAAAACAAAACGGCTGGAAAACTTAAATGAGACTGCCGCCGCTAACGACAATGAGTGATGACGGACAGAGTGATCCTTAAGTGTTCGCCATGCTTCTCAGGTGGCACGATAAAGGAAGGCAGAACAGTGAAGGGAGAAAGGAAAGATTTAAGATCCCAAGTGTGTTGCAATGGGGGTAGAAGATCTATTTTGGTCTGTTCAATGTCGACCCTAGTAATAGTCATGAAAGAAAATCCCTGATTTTCCAGGGGGCCAACTTTTACGTACATAATGGTTTGACAGATTTTGACGGATTCGATTACTCAAGTAGAAAATTGTTTGAATCACGTAATCTTGAAAAAGAAAGTGAAGGGACATAACTCTTCATATAGACTCCAATTTAAGTAATTTGTGCTGATCTGACAGATCTGTCAATTCAAGATCTATCTGTACACCAAATTCAAGAAGAATGACACATTATTATATGTTTTGCATGTCTGAAATTGTCAGTATGGTAAGTTTTAAGCAAAACTTCAAAACTAATTAAAATTTCTGGATTTTTTTCTCTCCAAAAACAACGGAAAAAACCTACATTTTAAAGAAAGTGGTAGCTATGGGAGCACCCTATAGCATAAAAATATTGATACTTTGCAAAACAATAAGCAAATTTCGCAAAACTACCAATCCTCAAAAATCACCTAATCATTATTTTATCTAAAAGGAAACTGAGAAATTATAGAAATAACAAACTTTATCCGATATATAACAGAAAGGAATGTGAGGAAATCGTGTGAGGGACATAACTCATAGAAATATTATCAAAAGGAAGACAATCAATCATAACTGCACAAATACTTACAAAGTACATAGCAAGTGTTCCTAGTTTAAAACAGACCTTATGAGTATTACTTGAAACAAATTCTAAATTATATAAGAAATAATTATCAGGGACACCATCTAAATGAAAATTAATTGATTGATATAACAGTCGCGATGCATTTAAAATCCTCCCCAAACGGAAAGTAAAACAAACATTACAGTAAAATGTTCAAACCTGGCCTGCATGGTGTAAAGTTTCACCTTTTGGCCTTTTGTAACTTTCAGCTTTCTTGGTGGATTTTGTGCACTTTTAAATATCTGCCATTTTCATCAGATGTATATTTAGTTCATAACAAGAGGCCCAGAGGGCCTGTATCGCTCACCTGAATTTATTTAAAATAATTGGTATGAAGTAAAGATATAGCACTCCATGGTAGGTGCTGTAAGTACATATGAAATTTCAGTAAGATCCATCCAGTACTTGAGATATAGCGAGATCAAACTTCAAACAAAGCCCCACCCCTATGCCCCTAGGGGGGTCATACCCACTGTTTATACAAAATTGAGTCCCCTTAGCCAAAGGATGCTCCAGACTAAATAAGGATAAAATCCCTTAATCCCGATAGTCGAAGAATTTGCTATATTTTATACCAAATATGGACCAAATCCTTTCCTTCCTACAAAAGAAGAAAGATTTTAAAGAATAATTTGCTCCCTGGAGGGCCAGATCCACGATTTATACAAAATTGGTTCTCCTTCACCCAAGGATTCTTCAGACCATATATGGAACAAATCCTTTCATTCCTACAGAAGAAGAAGGATTGTAAAGAATTTGCTATAACTCCCCTATTGGGCCCCATCCCTCAGCCCCTAGGGGCCACACCAACAGTTTATACAAAATTGGTTCCCCTTCCCCCAAGGATGCTTTTGCCCAAATATGGAATAAATCCTTTCATTCTTACAGAAGCAGAAGGATTTTAAAGAATTTGGTATATTTCCCCTATTGGTCCCCACCCCTCAACCCCTAGGGGGGCAGGACCCACTATTTATATAAAATTCAGTCCCCTTTGCCAAAGGATGCTCCAGACCAAATTTAGTCCAAATCCTTGCATTCCTACAGAATAAGAAGGATTTTAAAGAATTTGCTATGTTTCTCCTATTGGGCCGCGCCCCTCAGGCCCCTGGGGGGCCAGACCCACGGTTTATACAAATTGGTTCCCCTTAACCCAATGATGATTCAGACTTAATATAGAACAAATCCTTTTATTCCTACAGAAGAAGGGTTTTAAAGAATTGGCTATATTTCCTCTATTGAACCCCGCCCCTCAGGCCTAAGGATGCTCTAGACCAAGTAGACGGAAGGACGACGGACGGATGCTGCGCCATGGCATAAGCTCACTTGCACTTCGGGCAGGTGAGCTAAAAATAGAAAAAATATAATGTGAATAGTTAACAGCCAGAATAAGATGTAAAGGAAAGCAAACAAAGGGGCACAACTCTTCAAGTTCGTGAAAATCCAGCCCTGAATTTCTGCTATTTTTAGGATGCTTCTACACCAAAGTCAAATAACTTTGGCTTCTTCAACTTCTGACAGGTCAATGACCCTTCATGAGACTTATTTAGCTGTCAAAAATCAGACCAGAAAATACTGTAGTGACGTAACGTCAGATGTTGACGCACAATAGTGTAACATGACTTTGCCGTCATTTCGTTTCAGGTTTGACAGTGTTGACGTACGGCTGGCTTTGTAAAACACGTGTTTTCAAAGCCACCGGAATGAAAATAAGCATATGAAAAGCCTATTTATTTGACATTTATATGGGCACGATTTGAATATGACAAGTTAACCCGATTTTGACTATGACTGAGTTGAACGTGAAAGGTAACGGTTAAGAAGTGAAAGAAAAAAATGATAAAATAACTCTACCCGTTTTATATCATATACAATACCTTAGTGTTACCATGATATGTTCGTTATATGGCACATATTGATTAAGCACGTACAATTACATACACAAAACAAAATAATTCCGGAAGAAAATATTTGAAGCCCGGGAGAGAGGACAGGCTCAAATTATATGTAATTGTATTATGACGTGATATCATTTGCCGTTCAGTCAAACATAGACTTTGGTGTTGTTACATTCAGAGTTATAACATTACACATGCACATTACACAATTTTAATCAATTTTAAAATGTACGTACAAGTACAATTTGCTAGTGATTTTATGATAATGAGAAAAAGGAATAAAGAGATAGAGAGACAGAGAGACAGAGACAGAGAGACATATATACCAATATGTAATTGTATAACGTACAATTTACGTTTCGCTTATCACATTTACACAGGCTAAAATATCTAGATGTTCTTCTTCCTTCAGCTGTAACTTGTTATATTTCATCGTGCTGTCCGTCAAAATATACACTGCTGCCACAGCATACACAATAGCTACTTTGCCCCTCCGAAGCTTGTATCTCAAAGGGAAAGCGTCCAGCTGGTCAAAATAGTGGCCCTCTATTACCTCCGATCCACGCTGGAAATTGTTCCCCCAGTCATCCTCCGTACATCTGATCAGCTTATGCGTAGGACTTGTTACCTGCATAAAGACATTTGTTTAAATCGTCATTCTTGGTACATATAGACAAGGGGGTGTGTATACATAAAAAAAAACTTCCTGCATGTAAGAGGATGGGTTTACCAGTAAAATGATTGATGTGCTATTATTTTATAAACACGCATAATTTGCTCGACGAAAGAGTGAATTACTGAAAAATATCTTTCAAACTAGTGGCAAGTACCTTAATCAGATAATAGTCACTGGTAACATCTTCAGTAAACACGGCTATTATGTCTCCTGTCGTTAGCATGCCTTTTATGTCAGTGTCCTGGTCTTCATTCTATAAATCATCATTAATGAAAAAAAAAAAAAATTCCATGAATAGCACAAGGAGATATACAATTTTAAACGGTTATTATTAAACGCATATTAGAGAGACTGATGCTGAAGAAACTTATTTATAAGAAATTAAATTAATTACGTAGGATTCTAAATCACGATGATTAATTTTACTAGCATATCATTTTATTTTATTTTAAATCGAATTAAAAAAACCGAATTTAGATTATTTGTGTACACGCACTGCTCACATGACTTACCTCCGCTACATCGACAGTGCCTTGTGGTCCTCCTAGTTCTGCCTGTACCTTTATCAAGCGATTAGTTCCAGTATAGTCAGTGTTCATACAAGTTAACGGCAACCCATTTAAGCAACTGTCACATGAGTAGCAGGAATGTGCTCTCACTAAAATTTCGCCGTCCTTGTTTGAAAATATTTGATGTATTTTCCTATTGTTTGCGACAGGCTTGAATGTCTTCGGTGCCGATCGATCAATTTCATCAACATAACGGAATATTCTCCTTCTGTATACACCACCTTTGGGTTTATCTAGATACTTCGAGGCATAATTGTAGACTTCAGACCCGTTCTGAATTGTGGTTCCTTTCATTACCGCTTGGTCAAGCATTCGTTTAAGAAGCCCTCCGGCTGCGTCCTGTGGGCCTTTAGCATGCGAAGTTTCAAAGTAGTTTCTTTGAAATTTCTCGTATCCCATTTCGGAGCATACGAAAGATGACATGCCCATACAATGGCGGCTTTTATATTGCGCGGAACATCCGTCGGTAAACTCTATCATGGAATCTACTTCATAGTGTATGTTATCCAGATGGTCTTTGATTTCTTTCTGCACGCGATGCACAAAATGTTGGTCAAGAGTCAAATCGTCACTGACCACAAACAAAATTTCAGAGACAATTTCTTCTTCATCAACTTGGTCATATTCAATAACTCCGTATCTGTATATAACGGAAACGTGTATGGAAACTTCCGGTTTGGAAAAGTAAGATGATTGCAGTTCGTCTTTTTCAATGCAACGATAATTTTCACTAAAGTCGTGAATCACTAGACAAGCTTTTGGTGGAAGATCATCTTTCAATGAATTCAGTTGGTTTAGCTGCCAGGATGCCCGGAATTGGTGTGATGCAAAGGTATCCAACATACTAAGGAAATATTGAATCATTTCTGCGGGAGATGTTGATTGCTTAATCAGCATGAGTTTTCGTCGCTTGCCACCTCCCTTCACAGCGATTTCTTTGTATTCGTACCGTTCCCAGATTATATTTCCTGCGTCATTGGTTTCTGCCGGAAGGAGCTTTAAAGTTTTAACACCGCAACTTTGACACTTCCTGTCTAAACAATTCAATTTGTGGTAGGGGTTCTGTCCTTTTGCACACAATGTTGCATCGACAATATCGCTTAAATGTTCATACACTGGGTAACTGTTGTCGTCTTCGTTTTCGTCTGAATCGTTTCCGTTTGTTACCTTCCTACGGAAATCCATACATCTTCGAAATAGCATCCGTGTCTCGACGTGTTTCCGACAGCAACATGTATTCCGATCTTTCGCTCGCATTTGGCGAACAAAGTAAGGTCGTATTTTTTCAAAAACTCGTTGGCTTATCTTGATGTGCGGGTTTTTCGTTTTAAATTCAATATATATTTCTGTCTGTGTTTTCTCTAGGATAAGGATTGGGTGGCTTACGTATGTTCTTAAGCCAGTTCTTTTCCTCTTTATATCAATTTTGTTTCCAGTGGGTCTGGCATTGTGTGGCGATGTCCACCAATTGTATACTGAATTCTTTGTTTCGATAGAAACAGCATCACTTCGAACCTTGCGCGTGGTTACAAGAAGGGATGCGTTTTCCGAAGTGAATACTGAAAGTCGTTGTTTGTACCCGCCGTACACTCTCCGAGGTTGAAAACCTTACAATTTGGGCGTTTTTCTCCTTGCCTAACGATATCTTACTTCGAAATCGGCGTACTCTTTCTGTGCTTTCACATATTTTGGAGCTATTTCTTGTTTCCCGGTTCAAAGTTTCCCGTTTCGATCGTTTATTAGTGTTATAAGCATCTTTGTTTTTTGTTTGGCATTTCGATTTTCGCTGCTTCTTCTTTTTCGTGGATAGCTCTTTATAATATCTGGCTTTCTCCGAGTTATTTTTGAATTTCATTTTTCTAAAAGAAAAATAACACAAAATAAAGGTATTTGGTCCATGTGAAGGGAGGTAAAAAAAAAAGAAGGATGGGGTTAACATGAATCTTTGTGACGGGATGGCGGCAGTAGTAAGTGGGATCGATCTGTCTGTCAGGGAGATGGCAATAGTTGTGTGGGCTTCTATGTGACATGGGCGTGACAATTGTTGGTTGGGACTGAAGTGTGTGACAGGAGGGTGATAATAATCGGTTGGATTTATATTATTGTGAAGGAAAGGTGACAATAGTCAGCAAGATCAATATTATTGTGACAGGAGGGCGACAATAGTCGATGGGATTGATATAATTGTGACAGGTGGTGACAATAGTTAGCGGGATTAATCTATATTTGTGACAAGGGGTGACAATAGTCAGCGGGATTAATCTATATTTGTGACAAGGGGTGACAATAGTCGATGGGATTGATGATATTGTGACAGGTGGTGACAATAGTCATGAAAGTGACAATAGTCAGCGGGATTAATCTTTAATTGTGACAGGAGGGTGACAATAGCCGATCGGATCGATATATTCGTGACAGGAGGTTGACAGTTGTTGATGGGATTGATAGCATCGTGACAAAAAAAAAAGGGGGGGGGGGCGATTGTACATTTGAAAAATAGAGTTCATGTCAAATATAGGACTGATAGCATCTGCCAACTTTTGTTTGCGACACTACCAAATTATTGATAGATGCACAAAATACGGATGCACTTATTACTTCCAATGTTTGAAATAATTATCACATTATTTAAACAATTTGAAAACAAACGCGTCTGCATGTGTTCACATAATAAAAACATTGCCGCGTTATTAGTACCTACCCTCATTCCCGTTGTATCCGTGCAGATCTAGCATTCAGACTCCGCATAAAAGTATTACGTCACATTTAAGAGAATGACGTCAGTGTGACATCATACGGAATACTTTTTTTTTAAATTCCCGCCTTTTTTAACCCGTGGAATAATGCATTTCTGCGTCAAATGTACCTGTTTTCTGTATGTCAAAGTTGTGAACATTTTGTTTTTATGATGTAAAGTAATTTAATAAATACAATTGTATTCTTCACTGTCAATTTCGAATCATGCCCACCTAAAATTGCTACTGAAAACTATTAAAACATTTTAACTATTTCGTTTACAATTCACATGCGAGTTCGTCAACTTTGCTTCGAATACATACGGCTAATTCCTCGATGTCATTATAAGAAATTATTCTCTGCGTTTTCCTTTAAAGCGATTGACGTAACGTCATCATTTCCTACGTCGTGATTTTTTTCTTGCTGATATGATCAAATAAAAGTATTTCCCCACATTTAATTATCAAAGCCATCGATATCAAATCAAGCTCATTTTTGTGAGATGTTTTAATATTTTAAAAAAATACATTTTATACATATTTTTATCGCACTATCAATAAAATGTCACCGATTTCCGCTAAAACCTGTTTTTTCGTTCGATTAGCTTATGTAGGAATAATGAAAAAGTACAAAGTCAAATATATGCCATATCATTTACACAAAATATATCGGAAATGGGAAAACGGATAGTGATTTTTTTTACATGAAATGAAATCCAGAATTATAATTGATAAGTATGTATGTTTTGGCTGTTATTGCGTGTAAAGTACAACCAACAAACCCTCACGAAAAACGTTAAATTTTGTTCATAAACAAAACAAGGAAATGACGATAGATTTAACGTTTTCGACGCAAAATAGCGTAGCGTTACATGACGGCTAGACATGGGAAAATCAATGCAGTGCAGTGGTGTTAGGACACACAATATTTCTAAGTTATGATTCAAAAAGCAGAGTCAGAGAACTTGCAAATGCATGTATTTTTTATTCAGAAAACGCATTTGTCATTTCATTCGAAAGTCACAAACATGTTTTTTTTATCTTAAAAAGTCGCATTTTACGGACCGTTACATAACGGCTAGACACAGCAATGTCTAAATTTCCCAAATACTGTCGCTCCAATTTCTATAAACATTTGCAGATCGTTTGAATAGATTAAGAACTTGCACCAAATCAAATACAGGCAAGTGATATAGCATATTCATCCAGAAATCAAATTGCGAATGAACGGACATTTTAGACAACAAAAAACATTACACAAATAATATATATGTGTTTCCTATATTTTTTTCAACTTTCAAAAATGATATCGACTTTCAAGTATCATATAATTAAAGAAAACATTGTTATATAGCTTTAAAATTCAAACATCTGCAGAATGGGCCCATATTTTATTTTTAAATACTAATTTATTTAAACGCGCAACACGTTTATGTTACACATTACATTGGAATAATGGCGAATTTTGACGTTATATCGGCGGTTAATACTTTGGATTCGAAACTTCTATAAATGTTCATGAAATATTCATGTAGATACAACTTTTCTGAACAAAATGGTATATAATAACATATATATTTTATCCTTATTCAGATTTTATATGGCGCTGATGTAGCAAAATCCGCGATTTTTCGTATGTGCGTCAACATCTGACGTTACGTCAGTACATTTTCATGTCAACTTATGTATTAGTGGATTTGAACACCACTATAAATATGAATGTTGAACAGAAATATTTTAACATTTAAGCGAACGCATATATATATTTTTAATCACAGGTTTAGGGAATGAAGAGTTTAGATGGTGTTTGTTGATGTTTAGTTGATCGAAGAGATATATGTATAACCTTTTTTTTTTAAACACAGTATTCTAAAAGATATGATTAAGTTTTCATACTCTTTTCGGTTATCAGCATCTTTTGAGGAAACTCCATGTATTGTAGCAGAAAAATGTCAACAAATACTATGAAGTGTAGCGCAGTGGATATGGAAAGCTCAATTCCTGCTATGGTAGCAGTGTACAATGGAAATGGCTTGACCCTAAATATAAAGGACATGTCTCACATAAACATGGATAGTGAATTCAACCTGCACAACACACGTACATATATATACATATTTATAAACTGCATTTTGATTTCATTTTGTTTAGAAGACTGATTTTTTTTTCAAAAACTGTTTTCCCCAGATTTGGGACTTGTGAAAACCATGGTAACCACATCAAAAAACACCAAAATATGCAAAATATCATGATTTTTAACCTAAAATTTGACACCCGCAAGTAGAATTGTTTTTCTTAAAACCTGTCTAAAATTAAATATCGCCTACCCGGTAACAGAAATGTTCACGATTTAGCATAGGTCATTCCGGTGGATTTTTCACAATATTTACACATGTGCTGAGTACAAAAATACAAAAACAGACTTCATGAAAAGCTAGCTTTTGTTGTGTAGACACAGATTTGTAAATGCCCAAAACTGTAGTCTCAAACCAAATTCGATTTTTTGTTTGAAAAATTATAAAGCCCACTTAGTCCACTTCATCATGTATATGCCAATTTTAGCGCTGATCTTTTTTTTTTTTGAATTTTGATATATGTTATATGACAGGGGTTGTTCATTATATAAAAATATCACCAATGGTCATCGTACGTTACTGTACACTGCTACCTATATATTTGTAGTAAAGTTTTCAAAGAATCAGATATTTGGCAGACCTTTCTTATTCATATGACTTAAAAGTGATTGCGAGGATTTATTAAACCCAAAAAACAAACTGATTCCTATTCCTTATACAGAGAACAGTGTGGAAATACAGATGAACTGAAGGTATATTGAAAATATCGTCAGGTAATTCGGGTAAAATGGACTTGCATCATAATTTTATATATTCATAATGTGTTCATTCCATACATGTTTTCAGCCTGTTTTTGTTGTCATTATCTGTCCAGCCTGCAACATCTCATCTTTGCTTGCCAAGCGTTCATTTTGTACTCACATTTTTATGTATTCAACCTTAGCAGATTTAGCCTTGTTCTGTAAGCTTTCAAATGATTGAACCTGGCACAGGTACTTGGCACGAATTACCATCCTATGGTCCTCATATTTTTTTTTATATCATACATTATATAATACACATATGTGAACTGAGGGTAAGAAATTAATACCAAGTCCCTGTGCATATAAATAATAATGGCGGTGCCCAGTACCAAGTTGCCTTGTCGACTATGCCATGATTTATGTAAAAAAACAAAGGAGGTCAATACTTAAAGAAACATTTTCTGTAATTGATCAGTTGGTAGAGATAATTGACCATATTCTAGCTGTAAATGATAACGAAGGGAAATACATAGGCGACCAGTGCTGAAATAATCTTGAAAGTTTAAAGTTTTGCTAGTAAAGTGTCTCTGCTAGGTGGCAGGGGCGGGAAATTAAACACAAGGCTAAGTCCGCCAAGGTTGAATAGTGCAATGTTAAATTATGGACCCTTGGCTATTGAAGATGGAGAGATAACGAGGTGCGATCGTAAAATAAGATGTGTCTTCAGCAGTATGCTCCAGTAAAATTACACTTCGACCACAAGTACTGTATGTAGATATACAGTGTACATACAACAACAAGTTATTTATGTAGACATACAGTGTACATACGACCACAAGTACTTAATGTTGATAAACAGGGAACATACGACCACAAATACTGTACGTAGATATACAGTGTACATACGACCACAAGTACTTTATGTAGATATACAGTGCACATACCACCACAAGAAATGTACGTAGATATACAGTGTACACACC